TTCTATTTTTTATAGATTGCATCATTTCCTTATTTAAGTGACTCAACTTTTTCCCTTTTTCGTTGTACAATAATTGTATTACTTCTTCGTCATTGATGCAGGGAGAAAAAACCATTGCATTGCATACGTGAAAAGTATCAGGTGCAATGCATGGGCTAACTTCCAGTTATACACCGAAAAAAGCAAAAATAACATATCTGATTATGATTAAAACTGCAGCCTGCATGCCATCCATTAGACACAAATCAAGAAATTTAATTTGAAGGATATTGCTTAGTATGATAAGCCACAAAAACTGAAAGCTGGGATAACAAAGACAGTTAAATAAGCATATCTGTGCTGTCAGAATAACAGATTTAGAATTGGACCGAATTAAACAACAAAACGTCAGAGCAGCTTGGCAGAAATTATTCAAATTGTCGAACAATTTAACATTATGATTTGCCATTCACATGAGGCAGGTAATTGACATTGAACTGCAAGTGCTTCTTTGCACAGTACACCAAGCTAGATTAGTATTCGTACTAATAAAATCAAGCAGTTGAAGTATAATTTATTACCACAAAATGCCTCAGGAAGCTCATCTATACATTGAGGTTTCCATCTTTCCATAATCCTACGAGGAACGATCATTGGATCTTCCACAAATTCTTCTGTCCGCCTTCCTTCATGGTGATCCATAATTGTCACCATGTTCTCTTTTGCAACAATTTCCATTGTCGGCTGAGCCCCTATCACACTATATCGCCCCTAGCATAATTAACTCATCAATAAACATAGCAAACTGTAACCAACGAAGCAAGTAACTTCTGTTATATTCAGAATTGTGCCGGTGCAGGCATGTAATTAGCACAAAAAATCAGTCATTCCCCATGTGGTCTTTGAGAATATAAGTACTCCCTTCTTCCAAGGAGGATGCCATTATCTTTATTTGGGTCCAAAGCAGTTTTTCTTTGGATGATCTGTGACTGAAACAATTTAAACTATTTTCAGCTATAAAAGCTGTGAGTTTTAGTATTTTACGTGGTTTTTGAATATATGAAAAATGAATTTCATTCAAACCCATCATTCTTTTCAAGACAGAGTTCCATTGGCTATTCCAGTTTCAATCAAGTAACTAAACAGAGGTAGAACAAGGAGCTTACAACATTAGAAACTTTCAAACCAGGCTCCACAGACTCGAACAAGAAGCTTGGTGCTTCCCTATCATCTTCCTTCACCAGACAGCGGTAAGCGAGGACCGGAGTTAAGTGGTCAGAGAATATAGACCTGTAAAGAGGGATCAAATTCCCATGCTTGGCAGCTTCCTTGAACTTCACTGAATTGTCCACTGCACAAACTAAACCATCTCAAACCCAGAAAGCAGCCAAAAGTTACCTTCATGAAATTAATGTCAAGCGAATTAAATTAGTGATAGGTATACTCTTTTTTTATTAAGAAACTTGCACCATTTCACGATTTGTGCGCGTCAACCTTGCGAAGGGGCCATGCTAATCTATTTACAGCAGTGCATACAACTGCTGTCCTTGACCCGACCTGTATATATTGCTGAATTTGTTTATTCAACTCCTAAATGGGGGGGGGGGGGGCGGTAGTCAACCATGAGGTAAGCTCCTTTCCAGGCTCATATGCGGAAGGTGACATGGTATTCTATGCATTCAATGACAAGTTCGAGTTGACTCTGACATAGGAGTAATGAATGCAATAGCAATCTGCACCCACTGACTTAAAATACTGATCTGCCTCTGAACTAAATGGACAGAGATAGTATAATGGGTTATATTCGAATCTATACGGGAAGTTGAAAGTTTTTCAAAAAGTAAATATTAACAAAAGTTTGAGTCCATTTCCACAAAGAAGAAATGAAGGCAGCACAACTTTACATTCACAACTTAAAATTCTGATACTGGGTGCTTGACTTAGATATATACACACACACACATATAAGTGTATAGGTACAAATGCATTCATATATATTCATATATATATATATATATATATATGTAAATAGAGAGACATAGTAAGTTTTGGAAATTATATGTATGTGCTAAGTTGAAGTCTATGGTCACAGAGAAGCAGTGAACACAATGGACTCAGACGGCAGACCACTCACTTAAAAAAATTCATCCATCTCTAAATTAAATAGGCATAGAGGTTACTGATGAAGGTGGCGAACTAACATATAATTCAAATTTTGGAATACATATTTTAATACTAAATATATAGCTGAGTAACCATGCATTGGAACTCTGAACTCAATGAATTAAAATTCTAGAACCATCTCTGAATTAAAAAGGAATGGACAGTACCAAATTAAGGTGATGAAACTTAATATATAGTTGAGATTTTGAAATACACACACACACACCCCAATGCCAGGGGCAGAGCTAGGGCATGGAAGTTCGCATAAGGCCAGTTTTTTTATGTATAAACATCAAATGTTTAATCTCCTTGGCTTCTTTGTGTGTTTACTTTATTTTGAATTTTTTGAATCCCCTTAGCGAAAATTCTGTCTCCACTACTGATGAGTGCTAAGTATATAGTTGAGTAACCAATGCACTAGAATTCTGAACCCACTAACTTAAAATTTTGGATCCATCTCTGAATTAAACAGGCATACAGGGCACCAAATGAAAGTGGCGAAACCAACTATATATTCTTCTGAGATCCTCTTTGTTTTTAAGTCTGTCACAAAAAGAATAACACCTTTGTATATTTAAAAATAATTCAACTGTAAACTTTTCATTTTAACTTTAACAAGATTGATGTATAGCCATACAAATGTCTATGACATGTTTTAGACCGCAAGTTTCAAAGACTGAAACAGCCTCACATAAATTATATATTAATGTTAAATATACAGCTGAATAACCAATGCAGTGGAACTCTGAATCAGATAACTTTAAATTGTGGATTCGACTCTGAATACTAAATCGACAGTGAGCATTACCAAATGAAGGAGGAGGAGAAACGGCGGAGCATTTGAGAATCCGGACTCGGGAAGCAGCAGCTACAGGGGAGCTGGAGAAAGAGAGGGAAGTGGCTGTTGAAGCGGCAGAGTGACCGGTAAAAATGGAGGAGCGGTGGCCGGAGACGGTGGGAACCGGCCGGTGAGATAGGGCTAGGGTTTTCATGACTTGTTACAGCATTTGTTTGAGCTTTTTGAAAAAAAATGGAGAGTGGAGAATGGAGAATAATGGATGCTGATTTTTATGATTGTGTTTAGTTGTTTGTTAGAACAGTGAAATGTTTGCAGAAAGGGGTCGGGGGTTTTTTGGTAGGCCTTAGTTACTAGGTTTTAGGTACAAGAACCTAATATATGGTGAATTAAATATCATATTTTTTTTAAAATGAAAATAAATGACCTATTACTTGATTAAGGAATAGTCCGCTCAACATTAAATACAAGTATTCACGTGAAAAATATCAGAAATAGCCTGATGTATAATTGACAATTGAAAATTAGTCATAGTTTGAAAAATAATCGAAATTTTATTATTTTTATGTAAAAATAAAATATGAATAATAATATCTTTAAAATCCAAAAATATTCTAGCATAGGCATATGAGATTCCATAGTAATAAGTTGGAATTGATAACGTGGTGCAGTTCCAACGTAATATACTGGAAGTTTATATGCATAAGTTCCATAAATCAGCATATTATGTTGGAGCTTTTCGTATTTCAGCTTGAATATTTTTGTTCGGATTTTATCTCCAATTTAAATAGTAGTAGTTACTTTTCAATAACTTTATATATACTAGCTATTTTTTTAATAACCACCGGTAAAAATAACTATGCCATGTTATTTTGACAGAACTCGCCAATAGTGACAATAACCATTAGACAATAACAAAGTCGGATTTAGGATTGAACCTTATGAGACTGTGTCTCGGCTGGAGTTCCTAATCCATCATAATTTATTTTTTATTTTTTTTTTAATCCAAAGCAAAATTTTATTTCCTTTTTGTAAAGCAAGAACATGAGTGGAAGGGGGCATTCACCTTACCTTCCAATGATAATTTATTTGATTTATTAGGTTCGAGATTTATTCTTTGTACTTATTGGTAAAAAATTTAACATCAGAGACGGAGGGGTGTTTATTGGGCGGATCGGGCGGATAATTATTATTAATGTTTCAGCTTAACGGTTATCGAATTATAAATGTAGTAATTTGTTAGTCATCCAATAAGATAACGGACGGATTTGTATCGAATTAACAATTATCGGGCGGCTTATCGGCTAAACTAAATAGAATTTGTTTGAACAATCATTCAAGCAATACCAAATTTTCAATACCATCTAAGATCTAACCAAACGGTATTTTTAAATTAAGGAGTCTTGAAGACTACTAAAATTGTCAAACACGTATTAACCAAAAATTTTATACCATGAAGACTATTCATACAAACATATATGTATTAATCATTGAGATTTCGATTTTTCGACTTCTCAGTTCTCAGTTCAAGATAGAGACTAGATTGACGAGTTCTCTGTCTTTGGTTGCTGCAGACAATTGAGAATTAGAAAATAGAAATTAGGGATTTAGCCATTTAAGGTTTCAATAGCACTTTATATACATAGGGATAAAAGTGTAAATATAAAAATTCTTAACGAGTTAACGGTTTACCCGATAAGAAATTGAGTAATTCGCCCCAAATCGTTAAGCCGTTAATTATAAAATACCAATCCGTTTACCATCCATTACTCCGATAATCCGATACCAATAAACCATGGGTTCGATTCGTTTAACGATTTCGGTTCGGTTTTAAACCGTCGTAGCCGCCTTACAGGAAGCATATACTGGCACACTTATGTTATTATCATTTTCGAGACTTTATTTGTTAAAACCACCAACCTCTAACAAAATTAAGGAGCAACAAAAATCAGTGAGCTAGAACTTATTTGTTAGTCGGATTGACATTACATAATCAAACCATCTGATACATCGCGTAATTTCAAAACGGATCAATTCCTTTCTTAAAGGCGGTCAGAAGGAGAACAAAAAAAGTTTTTAGGGTTGAATATTTTTGTCAAAATTTACAGAGGTTTTTAGAGATGAAGATCACAGCATTGATGGTGTTGAAATGCAATCTAGAAGGTTCGGATCCAGTGAATTTAGCGAACGCATCTGATATGAGCCATTTCGGGTATTTTCAGAGATCCAGCGTTAAGGAATTCATCGTTTTCGTGGGTCGGACCGTCGCTAAACGGAACCCACCGGGCCAACGCCAATTCGTTCAGCATGAAGCATACAAGGTACATTCATACAATCGAAATGGTTTATGTGCTTTGGGTTTCATGGATGATCACTATCCAGTTCGAAGTGCATTTTCACTGCTCAACCAGGTTCTGGATGAGTATCTAAGGAGTTTTGGTGAGTCATGGAAAACCGTGCAAAGCGACAATGCTCAACCATGGCCTTATCTGAATGAGGCTCTAGCCAAATTTCAGGATCCTGCTGAGGCTGATAAGTTGTTCAAAATTCAGAGAGAGCTGGACGAAACAAAAATTCTCCATAAGACAATTGACAGTGTCTTAGAACGGGGAACAAGAGAACATGTCATTAGCTAGAAACCAAAATCCTAGCTAACTTATCAAGAGTCCTAGCTAACACCGATTTAGCTAGGAAATTGACCTTAGCTAAATTCCGTAGCTAATATGGTCTTAGCTAAATTTTAGCTAGAAAATTATTTTATCCGTTGCTAATATAGCTAGAGATATTTGCTTGGCACTAATCCCTTTGAAGTGTAGCTAGGCTATTAGCTAGGGACTTATTCCATGCTAATATTTGCTACGACTAGACTAGCTAAATTCCAAGCAAATTTTGACGGGTGAGCGTTGATTTCATTACAACATAGCTATGAATATCCCTAGCTAAACTTACAAATATTCTAGCTAAATTACTAGTAGGATTTTTGTCTATAGCTAATTTGGTATCTAATTTGATAAATATCCTAGCATGTATTTGGTTTGGCTTGGGATATTTTCCAGGCTAAAGCTAGCTAGGAATAATTCCTATATTATATATGATGAAATACGAATATAATTTTCTACGTAATTTGACATGAGACAAAATAAGTAATTAAATCCATAAATTTGTACGTAAGCATAATCATGGTACCATTAATCCTAGAACAACGAAGTATATATATGCCTATTGGCAAATAAAATATGTCTTAAATTAAATAATTAATAACATAAACTCTACTATTCTAAGATGGGGGACAACCAGAGCCGCTTGGTGGTGGTTGAGAAGTTAAACCAAGCATCTCCCGCACGACAGCACGAGCTGCAGCTTTTACTTCTTCTTGCATATCCTCCCGAATATCTGCTTGCACTCGTGCTAACATATTCTCCATCCGTTGCTCCATTGCACGATCAAGAAGTTGCTAAAATTCGGGTGTTTCAAAAACTTGTTGAGTAGGAATATTTGGAGGATTATTAGCACTAGAGAATGCACAATTATTGTCCAATGAATCTGCCAGAATATAATTTTTGGGACCAAGACCATATATTTTTCTTTTTTTTTTGTGCCTCCAACTGTTTCAATCCAAGTTTCCAGTGGTTGCTCATCTGGTATGGTTTTCAACAAATCCACAACAGTTTCTTCCCTAGTTTTTTCTCCTTCCTCATCTCCATTTGTTGCCATGTTTCTTTCCATCTCTTCATCATCTACTTCAAAACCTTCTTCATCCCTTGATGTTGAAGTCTCACCTATCTTCTCCTTAATAACTTCTGTTTATGTATTCTGAAAAGAATTATAGTAATTAGTCATTACATAGAATAAAAATGCTACAAGGTAGATATAATTTGTGTGAAGTAGTCAAATTGTTCTGTAATGAAATAAATGGATAATGGAGAAATAAACTTCTCTAATTGACAAAGTACATAATAGAAAATATAAAAAATAATTCATTTAGTATCAGATGGCATCTTATCACTGCTAATTTCTTGATGTGCACAAGAAGAGGTGCTATAGAGTTGTATATTTCTCAACTTTAGAATGTGCAAAAACTTAGAAGCTTTTCTTACAATTTATAAATAAAAAATGCAGGGTAAGATAATAGGTGCTTGTGATATTCTACCATAATTATATCCTTGAACAATAACTCTAACACTAGTCCTAGAGAACATTGTTGGGACAGAAGAAAAGAATTACTGTAGGCATATCATAGCACATAATTGGTAGCTCCCTTGAAGCTTTAGTGTATACATTTAACATGCACATAACTTATACAAGTGTGTATCTTCGTGTGTGTGTTTAGTTAACGTACTCAAAAGAAAATTAATTACCATGTTTATGACTAAAAAATGGTCATACTAATGTCTTAAGTTACATATCTAGTCAGATGGTCATCATAGTTGTAGTCCCTCACAGCCTGCCAAATTTTCCAGTAAAGTACATAAGCAAAAATTAAAAGGACCAGCACAATCAAATTTGCACCAACTTACATCTGTTATAACTTTAATGTCTTGTTTATATCTTGTGCCAAAACAAGACATATTTGAATTAACAAATAAAAGAGGGGAGGGGAGGAGTGGTAACGATATATATAGTATCATAGCTTCCTAACATAGTACTATAACTAGCCAGATTTGTGAAGAACTTTGTTCCCCTTCCTACAGCAATGCAAAAAGATTGAAACCGTCATCTTAGATAAAAGCTACCTATATTTAAAAATAATGTTTACTTCCATTTGTAACAATATTTGTTATTTCCTCCAAGCCAAAGTTAATCTCAAGTGGTAGTAATATATTGTTGAAAGTAATTATTTTCTTGTTCAATACTTCCTTTTGATTTAAGCACTCCTTTTGAAATTTGAAGATCATTTATTNAACTTACTCTACGACCAAGGTTGTTATCATCCGTCACAACCAGAAACTGCCCCACTTCACCTAATAAGTTGCCTACTACTTTTCTTCTTGGTCTAGTATCATTATAGCAAATTTTTACACTCGACAATGCTCACCAAAGAAACCATCAAGATTCTCAAAATCCAACAATAGCCTAAAACTTCAGTTTCTTAACTCATTGAATAACTCCATTACTTCAGCATTCCAATCACAACAACATCACTTGTAGATTAAATCAATTACCAATCATAAGTTATGTTACGCAGCGCCTCCCTGATGTTCTTTGGAAGGGCAACGTAAGGCTAAGCAACCGATGTCAGTGCAGTTGTTGTCCGCCAATGAGGTCCCCTCTGCACGCTAGACTAGATTGTCAGTCCGTGTAGGAAAACCAATGTCACGAGCAATTGCGGAAGCTGAGAGAGAATTGGATTTTGAATAATGATGATTTTATTGATGAATGAAATGCTGATTACAAAAGATGCGGTGTCGAGGGGGAGAGACACCAGTACAGAAAATTGATTGTTTAAAAATGTTTGATTGCTTGATCCCCCCCTAATAATACTTAAAAAAATAAACCAAAATTACATGACTAGTCCTAATAAAGCTGTAGAAGCACACTGAATAAAAATGATGTAAACTAGTCTATACTTACAATGAAAAGGACTTAGTTTATTACAATGTAGAACCAAGTCTGATGGCAGCAACTTTGTCTTGCGGGTCAGGGTCTGCGCGCGTGTAGCTGTGGGCGCGCGCTACACTTGCTGTGTTGGCCTGAGGCTGGGCGCTGGTGCTTGGCATCAGGGTCTGTGCGCGAGGCATTGCAGGAATGGGCCTACAGCTGGGCGCTGGCGAGGCATCAGGATCTGCGCGCGCGGCATTGTCAGGGCGCGCG